ACATGAAGGAAATAATACATCTGGAAAAGAGTAATTGTTAAAATGGCCAGCACTTTGATAGTGTTAGGGTGTAAGGCTGATGGTGATGAAGATGCAGAGAAAATTACAAGGGTACTCAAGGAGATGGTGGTGTGACCAAATAGGATTTTAGGAAGATGTGCAGATTGGAAAAGGAATTTAATAAATTTCAGTGGGACTTTGGCTTTTTGAATCATGAAGGTGTCTGACAAATAGGCAAAGGGAGTTTTCTAACATGCAAACCATGAGTGATTTCAACATCATCAGTGGTACATTTAGAACCACAAATATAGACCTGGCAATTCAGATGTGAATGTACTCAGAGCAGCTACTCTGGTTTAAAAACCACCTACCAGTCCCAGAAATAATTCAAAGAGAAAAAGGAGGAAACATGATTTCTTTACTGAAATCAGTAAAAAATCATTTCAGTAAAGAAATCATGAAATGTTTCAATGTTCTTTTATTATTGAAATGAAGAAAGAATAAAATAATAACGTACTATTTAAGAAGTTTAAGAATAAGGACACCATACATCAAAGCCTGCAAAATGTGGTCAAGATCATACCCAGAAAAAAGTTTATAACCTTAAGCGTGTTCAATGAGAAATAATTACAATAATCAAATTAGTTAATTCAAGAAGTCAGAAAAAGAATGTCGAAGCAATTTGAAGGTGGTAATTATACAGGGGTGACGTAACCAGCAGCAGCAATGGTAAGGCTTTCTATATACTGTGGTATTTCTTTATTAGGGACTTGATGTGCCTTGTAACCATACTATTTTTATTAGGATTGCTATTATATTATCAGTGCTCTGCTTACATAGTTCTATGGACTTTGAGTGATGCCCCACCCTGTTCTTCCCTCTAACTTCTATTATTTTTAGAGTGTGATTCACAGCCCCAGTGTTCTAGCAGAAGCACACACATCCCACTATAGCAGAAATCTGTAGTCAGAGAGACAGCAAATCAGAAACCATATATCATTGAGGACAAAAGAATCATTTCAAAAAAGAGAAAAGAATAAAAATAAAAACCTACATGAAAATTCAGTGGTAGTGAAGATAATACACACTTGAAGAAATTTGATGGATTATTAAATGGTATAAAAATTATCAACACACACACAGAAAGAGGGGCAACTTTGGAAATCCAACCAGTAAACACAATAAAATTATCTCCTACAAATAAAACATTATTTTAATATTCATTAAACATTAATAAGATTTGACTACAATAAAAATGTTAATAAATCCCCAGAGCTGTTTAACTAATTACATGATCTAACAATAACCTCATCAAATTAGACTGAAAAGCAAACTGGAAATGATTCCTAGGCAGAAGAGAATATCTAAATGAGATCTAGTTATTTAGATAGAAATAAAGACTTCTGGGCCTCCCTTGTGGTGCAAGGGGATAAGCACCACACTATAAAGCAATCCACAGCCTCTGCAGCACGAGTTCAATTCCCAGCCAGCCAGGGAGCTACCCACACGGCGCAGCAGACCTCTCCTGTCTTGCCCGCTGCTCCCCTCGGAAGTGTATTTTAGTCGGTCTGCCTGTTCTGTTCCCCACTCTGTCTCTGGTGGATCCTCTCACCCCCCACATCTCTGGCCTGTACCCCAGCTCTTGTATGCATAAATAAATAAATCTTTAAAGAAAAAAGGAAGACTTCTTAGAAAAACATGTGCAAGACAGGTAAAGAGTATCTCAAAAGAAGTATTATTAAGCTTTAATATTAGTGTCACTTAAAAAAACAAGTCAAATATTCAGTTAGGAAAAACTTGTCATTGTTTTGCTAATTATAATGAACTTTTCTGATATTTTCTCAAAGGTTTTGTTCTTAAAAAAAGAATAAAAGAAGAGAGGAATGATCAGCTATGAAGGCTTCATTACATAGGTATCATTGATTAACTCTTTGGCAACTGGCTACTGAGTGACCTTTGGCCCTTCCCTCCTCCCTGCAGGTCAGAGGGTGGTTCTGGAAGTTTAACCTTCTAATCACCACCCAGTTGTTTCCCCAAGAAACCGCCCCCATCCTCAGGTATTTTCCCAATGTCACCTCATTAAAATTACAATGGACACTTTTAACACCTTAACACTTAGGAAATTCCAAGGGTTTGGGAAACCTGTTAGCCAGGAACTGTGACTGAAGGCCACAAAACAAATATGTTTTAGAAACATATTTGAATGACCAAATACACACACACAATAAACACATAGTGTTAGGGGGAAAGGATGTCCTGCGCTAATCCCATACAGGCTTTGTGGACCCCACCCCCACTCCAGACCAAAGCCATCAAGACATTGGGAAAGACAAATCCCGTCATCACCAAAGGGAAGGTGGCTGGGACCTGAGGGTGGAGTTAAGCAGCCAGGTTGGGTATAAAAACCAAACACGTGGGCCTTGGGATCTCTCGCTCTCTTGCTCTCCTCCTGGCTTCACGGCTCCTGGCCTGCGGCCAGCTCTCAGAGTGCCATTTTGGGATTCCTGATCGGCGGATCGGGTAGGACTCATTTAAAACTTTGTCTCCCACTTTTCTCCCTGAGCTGTACATTTCCTCATTTGCCCTTCCCTTGTAAATAAAGCTTTTATTAACCTTTCGCGTGTGCCTGCAGTAGAGCATTGATAAGTCCTTTTAAGTGCGCGGGTGAGGACCCACAGTCAGGCACCCCGTTTTGTATCGGGGCTGCCAGGGCTGCCCTATAACAATAGTATACACATATCACATGTCATTAATGTTCATTCAGATTCTGATAAAAACAGTTTCCAGAACAGGAGAAGGCAGGAGGGAAAGCAAACTAATTTGGGGTTTCAGAAGTAACTGGAAGGTAACTTTTAAGAAGCCAAGTTAAAATGGGGGAAGATGTACTATGTATTTCTGCTTGTTCTTTGGATTGACCTTGTGTCACTGACACTAAAAAAAGTCTCTGCCATTAGCATATTCCTCATCATTCTTAGTTCAAACTCTGTCCTCAGTCTCAGAAGCTACACATCAACCATGGGACTGGAAATAATGCCTATGTGATGTTCAGTTTCAGAGAGATTGGGACTATCTAACTTCCAGTTTACACACACCCAGAAATACATCGAATCAGCATATGTGTAAAGGGAATTTTATAAACCAAGACTAGACTTGGCTGTGCCAATGCAAAATAATATAAATACACCACAGGATTTTAAACAGTTACCAAAAAGATAATAGCCAATAATGCTTCCAAATACTTGGAGGCATGGTATATCATTCTCTGATTTTTCTTTTTTATCAAAAACTAAGATATGCACATAAATGCAGAGAACTGTTATAAAACATTACAAAATAGTTGGCTCATGACAAAAGCGTAGAAGCTCCATTCCTTGTTAATTGCAACAGAAAAACATAAACAGATGTCAGGGGAGGTTCTTAGTAGATAAGGAGAAAAAGATTTTTGGAGCTTTCTTTTTAAAAACTTTAAGACCTTCTCATATCAATTCCTCAATTAAACATGTACCATTTGTCATAATTTCATAACCAAGTTTTCCTATTTCTTGAGTTTATTTTCTGTTACTATGTGATAAACAGAACTCAGAAATGTAGAAGCTGACTGTGGAAATGAGGCTACCAGAGGGGGAGTTGAAAGGGTGAGAGCAATGTGGGGAAGGAGCACAATGGACTATGGTGGAGGACTATGGGTGTCTTGGTGGGGTACTATGGTAACACCCACAAGGGGGGAGATCCTAACCTCCTAATTTGTAAACAATAATGTAAACCCATGTTATCTCAATTAAAAAAGAATTCACTATAGTCTTACTGCCTCCTACAGACTTCTTGTAGAAGAGTGACAAAATTCCTTCAAAAATATGGGTTTTACAGCCCAAATGCCCAAAAATAGATGACTGGATCAAGAAGATGTGGTACATATATACCATGGAATATTACTCAGCATTCAAAAAAGATAAACACATGCAATTTGCAGCAACATGGATGACGCTGGAAGGGATCATGCTCAGTGAAATAAGCCAAAAAGAAAAAGAAAAATACCGGATGGTCTCACTCATAGCAGGGATCTAGAAAACTTAAATAAGGGACCAGGAAAATGAATAACTATAAGAAAGTGAAAATCAAAATCAACAAAAACTATGCACCAGAGACACTTTTTGGGGGTGGGGGGCGGGAGGGGAGGGATTGGGGTCAGAATGGGGGGATTGCAATTGTATGGGGAATATAAAAATAAAATTTATTAATTAAAAAAAAAATATGGGTTTTAAAAATATATTTAGGGGCCTCCCTGGTGGTACAAGGGGTTAAGCACAGCACTATGAAGCAGTCCACAGCCTCTGCGGCAGAAGCTCGATTCCCCGACCGGCCAGGGAGCTACCCACATGGCGCAAGAGACCTCTCCTGACTTGCCTGCTGCTCCCCTCAGCAGTGTATTTCAGTCGGTCTGCCTGTTCTGTTTCCTGCTCTGTCTCTGGTGAATCCTCTCACCCCCCTCCCCTGCACCTCTGGCCTGTACCCCAGCTCTTGTATGCATAAATAAATCTTTATATATACATATGCCTCAATTATGTGGCTGCATTGCCACTAATTCAGACTTTAACGCCAGTCATCTGTCTTTGATTTTTACAAAATTAATCAAACATCAGAGAACCGGTTCCATGTAACCAAGTAGCTGTTAGAGCTAGTTGTCAATATAGACAAGCATATACCTATATAGACAATATAGACAAGCCACTTATACCTATTTTGAGAGAGAAGGGAATATCAATGTTTAAAGGAAGAGCACAGTCTGCAAGGGCTACCCAGATGAGCAGGCAAAGAAACAAATCAACATATCCCAGAGCTGAACTTGTGTTATTAGACAAAGAATTTAACAAAACAAATATATGGGCAAGAGGCATAATTAACCAAAAAGTTAAGCCTAAATTACTGTGCTCTCAGCCACAATCCATACCAACATACCCACCAGTATACCGTGGTCGTACTAAGAAGGACAAGCCACTTACGAGTCTGAAACAATGCCTTCTGCTATCTCACAGACGTGCACAAACAGAAGCGCAAATGTCAGAATCCATCTCAGGTTATGTCCAGGAAAATGAAGCCATGTATTGTGATGAATTTGTACTTTTGAGCTTTGACTCCCCCACCCTGAAAACAGGAAAAAGGAAACAAATTAATTTACATTGTGATATGCTTTGGAGGCCTCCTAAAATCTTAATGCTTTCTAACGTAGCAAAGGAAATCTTGTCCATTTTTGTTATATTAGAAGAAATAATTTCAATTGATCTTTATGCAACTGCATATGCTACCATATTAACATCCATTGATTTCTCAAGAGTAAAATCAACTCTGAGTAAACTGATAGTAAATCAATAAAATTTTATTAGAAGAATAAAACAACTCTGGGAGACTATGTGGTTATTTTGTGCTAAACAGAGTTCTTACTGACAGGTTTCTGATTCATTCAAAAGGACAAATCAATGCTATTAATAAAAGCAATTTGGTGTCTGATGTCTTTCAAGGCATAAGATTTGGTGGGAAGATTAGTAAAATAATACCGTATTTGGTGAAAACATACAGGACTCATTAGATGAGTCAACTCATAATCACATGTATACCATGAGAGAAACATGGTAATCTAAGACTATGTGAGCACTGATAGACAGTGGTAATATTTTCTCAAAGAAAGCTTAAGTTTTGTTCATTAATTTTGATGTTTTTAAGCAGGTTTCAAGAACACTGGAGGTTGGCTCTTAGCTCAGCATTGAAGGAAAGTTCAAGATCACATTCTAGTAAAATTTGGATGGTCTGCCTTCAAAAACTATAGCCAAAGTAATGCCAACTCATAGAAGAAATGCTAGGAAATGACCCAGCATTTGTCATCCCTTTTTCCTCATTTCTTACCTGCAAAGAAGCCTTATATACTCAAAAATAAATGGGGGCTTGTGCTTGAAACACTGCAGAAAGAGATTTTCATCTAGGCAAAAGGAATTTTTGTCTTAGTTGTTCCCAAATAAATTTCATTATTAGAAGATCAGTTACATTTAACCTATTCTATTAGAATTTATGACTTAAACTCTTGTAGGCAAGCTGTTTTTTGAAACACTGTAATTTTCTGTTAACTGATACTTCTTTGAGATTAATTTATGCTTTCTCAGTAACTCAAGAAGCCAGTGTTATAGACTACATTTTTCTGTCATCTTCCTTTTACAGTGTTTACTCCAATTCCATTGCATTTATACATGTGTCCACTTTTTCAAAGTTCAAGTTCAGCCATTTTGATTTTTTACAAAAAGACCCACATTAGTACTGACTTTTTTTTTTTTTTTAACAAACTGAAAAGTCTGAAGACAATTTCTGCTTTTAGGGCAAGAGGGAAAAAGCAAACAGCTTCAGCTTTGGTTTTGCAGCAGCCATACCAGAGACAGGGAGCCTGGAGACAGCAGCAAGAAGCTCCTTGCCTGAAAGTACTTTATACAGTTCGGTGTTTATCACATCAGTCCTGCATTTACTCTATGTGAGTGTTATTTTAGGTTTCATGTGACTTTTGCCATTACTTGCCATTACAGGCTATTTTTGGGGTGTGGGAACACAAAATATTACTGGTAATTGTTTACTTGCTTTATGTCACTCCAGCTTAAAAAAGGTTTCATAGGAATGCTCTTTTTTTTCTATTTTTGCATAGAAGAACTGGGGTGTAAGTCAGAGATGTGGGGAATGAGAGGTTTCACCAGAGACAGAGTGGGGAGCAGAAAAGGCAGATCTACTGAAATACACTGCTGAGGGAAGCAGTGAGCAATGGCAGCAGCAAAGGTCTGCTGTGCCATGTGGTTAGCTCCCTGGCCAGGGATAGAACTCAGGCATAGTGGTGATACTGCCAAAACTTAACCCTGAGGCCACCAGGGAGGCCCAGAAATGCTCTACTCTTGAATAGTGGGGGTAATGGGATGCTTTTGCCAGCCTCTGCTTTCAATGCTAGAGATGCAAACAGGACTGTCACCATGATTGCTTCCCAAGTTATTAAACAGGATGTCAAAAAACGAGTTATTAATTACAGTTGCCATAAAAATCTATTTTCAACTTTTGGCCAAAGATCATTTTTTTTTTTAAAGATTTATTTATTTATACAAGCACTGGGTACAGTCAGAAGCGCAGGAGGGTGAGAGAATTCACCAGAGCCAGAGTGGGGAACAGAACAGGCAGACTGATGAAATACACCACTGAGGGGAGCAGCGGGCAGTGGGAGAGGCCTGCGCGGCATGTGGGACCCTTGCCCGGTGACCGGGTATCGAACAGGCGCTGCAGAGTGTGGGCAGCTTCGCAACCCAGCGCTCAACCGCTGCACCACCGGGGAGGCCCCAAAGGGCATTCTTAATGCACATAAACAAATTGGTATTTCTACATATGGCCACTGTAGTTCAAATATATTATCTGTTCATTTGCTTAACATGAGTAACTATGTACAAGAGTAACTCGGCCTCTGATGATATGTCATATAACAGAAATTCTTTGACATTGTTAGAATGCTAGGCATGTAGTAGTGTCTCAATATCTGTTAATGAGGAAAACATACAAATTATTTTTAAACCTTCCTTTACAGCAGAAAGATATGCTGACTCTAAGAAAAATCAGTATTACAGCCTTGTCATTTATTTTTATGAGCAAAATCATGCATGGGAATATTAAACACCAACTCCAAACCAGTGGTTACCTCCCAGACAGGAATGCAGGATGTGGGAAGAGGAACGGGATCTGGAAATGGTACGCAGATTCACTTATATACTGGCTGAGACTCCTTAAGAGGAGTGGTGGTAGGTTCAATAGATGTTTATTAGCCTGTCATTTTTATATATGGAAAATATTTTATAATTTAAAAAAGTCTAAAGATCTATTTTTGTTGTAATTTTAGAGAAATTATGTGTAACAGCTCTAAATAATTGGATTTTATCTATTTGTAGATTTTACTTTTTCTTCCTGAAACACCATTTCTTTCCCCATCTCCTTGTCCACTTTAACTTGTATACGCTATCCTTTCAAATGCCTGATGTCACTCACTATGTAATCTTTCCCATCAGCCCCAAGATGAGTTAGTTTTTACAGCAGGTTCTAGACCACATAATCTGTTCCTCTATCTTTAAATGGGCTTAGGCATTTCTCTTGACTTTGATACATGATTTCCAGGACAATTCCAGTGTCCATTCCAAGCAAGTACTGCCTTATAGCCACTTCCTATACTTATCACCTGGAACAAAGCACTGCTGAACAAATTCTTCAGATCCATTTATTTCCTCCTTTTTTTTTTAAAGATTTGTTTATTTATTTATTTATTTATTTATTTATTTATTTATTTATCTATACAAGCACAGGGTATAGTCAGAAGCGCGGGAGGGTGAGAGAATTCACCAGAGCCAGAGCGGGGAGCAGAACAGGCAGAAGGACCGAAGTACACTGCTGAGGAGAGCAGCGGGCGGCAGGAGAGGTCTGCGTGCCATGTGGGACCCTCCGCCGGTGGCCGGGGAGCAGCTGGGGATCGAACCAGCACTGCAGAGGCCGCGGGCAGCCTCACAACCCAGCGCTCAACCGCTGCGCCACCCTGGAGGCCCATTTATTTCCTCATTTTAGCAAGCTGCTGCTGCTAGCTGAAGTTCATTTTAAGAAGGCAAGTGACTTCTGATTTACCTATGGAGTGTCATATGCCAAAAAAACAAATAACTGGAAAACATAAAATATTTGCTTGTTCTTTTCTTACAGGTGTACTTAACTGTTTCTATGATGGAAAGATTAAGTCAACAGGAGAACAAATCTCAGCCATTAAGAAGACCTTATAAATAAACAAATGTTAAGAAACAATTTTTATATCTTTAAATAAACAAAGCTAATAAATAAAAGTGATGTGGAAAAGGACAGCAGATTACTTACCAATAAACAAAATGGGAAAAGTAATAAACAGCAGGAAGACATGAGGGACCAGGTTGAGGGCATCTACAAAGCAGGGGTTTTGTAACACACCATTACAGATGTTGTATGAAGAACTGTTGTTACCACAGAATGAAAGGCTCATTTCTTCTTAATTGGTTTTCTCTACAAAAGAAAGAAAATAAGGTCTCATTATTAAATTCTCTTTCATAAAATTTAGCCCCAAAAAGTATAATTTGATAACATTTATCCCCCTTATTTTTGCAGTTGAAGATATAGGAAATTCTATACCAAAATCATTTGTAAGTTTTTTATAAAGACCTTATACATTCTAGAAGGTCCACTTTTCAAGTCTTTTTCAGAGAAAAAGATTTGAGTTTGGAAAATATATAACAACTAATATCTACCAACAATGGTACTGCAAAGGAGTATTTGCCTGACAAAAATGGTTACGAAGAACAAAAAAGGTGATCTCTCAAGAAAAGGGAGTGGGCCTCCCTGGTGGCACAAGGGGTTAAGATGGAACCTATGAAGCTATCCGCAGTCACTGCAGCATGAGTTCGATCCCCCACCAGGGAGCTACCCACATGGCACAGCAGACCTCTCCTGACTCGCTCGCTGCTCCCCTTAGCAGTGTACTTCGGTCAACCTGTCTGTTCTGTTCCCCACTGTCTCTGGTGAATCCTCTCACCCTCCCATACCTCTGGCCTGTACCCCAGTTCTTGTATGTATAAATAAATCTTTGTTAAAAATTATTAAAAAAGAAAAAAGGAAAAAAATCAAAGTCTTGACTAAAAAGTCAAAATGGTAGAGCATCAAATCCTTCCTCATGTTCATTCTTTGAAATTGCTATAACCAGCAGCTTTAGCTAGACACCATTTAGAGGACTCTTCCATTAACTGAAGAGAATAGTAAAGAGACCACCATGGCAGAAAATGTCCTTTCTCAGAAGATTAAAATCCAGTGCTTAAGACAAATTAAAGACAGCTCAAGTGAATGAAACCTCTCAAGTGCCACGTCAGAGAACAGTCTTACATGAAATTTAAGTTCTGAAAGTAAAAGTTCTCAAGTTCTGAAAGCAAAGATATCTTTTAATCAGAAATCTGTACTCCGTTAAAGCAGAAGTGGATGAATTTCAGCAGGAAACAGAACGAGATCACACAGGGTTTTGTTCACCATTGCTGGAACTTTGGCTTCTATTCTGGGGAAAGAGTCACTGAGGGTGGTTCCATCAGAGAAGTGACATGCTCTGACTTATATTTTAGATGAACTTCTCTCTTCACTGTGCCAAAACAGATACCTAAGAACCAAGGTCTATTCCACCCAAATATGAGTGTGAAATTACAGCAAGAGTTTTACATCTTTTTAAATGCCTACTCTTTATTTAGCACCGACTAAATTCTAGGTACTTTGCAAACATTAACTTAATTCCTCAGAATATCGTGCAAGGTAAGTGGAGTTATTCCCCTTTTTACAAAGGAGGATACTCAAGTTCAGACCCATTTAGTCACTTGCTGGCCAGGGGATTAGGGAAAATCTACACCCACGTGTCTGTCTATAAAGTAGTTTCTTCCCACTGCCATCATGTAGCCTCTAATCTACTTTTTAAAAGAAAATATCCATATTTATTCTTATTAAAATAAGTGGCAGTTCAAGATTTTCTCCTCACTGCGCTTTATTTTCCATATTTATTTCACACTGGATTCTGAGTAAGATTATGAAAGGTTGGCAAAGGTTTGAATAACTCAAGTAGTCCCTTTTCTCTCTTTCCTTTCATTGATAATTGATTTAGCAATGGTCATGAATAATATTTTGTCTAGGAAAAAACAGAGTGTTATTCAAAGAAGATGGGCAACAGTAGGCAAATTATCAGAGAACTCAAATTTCAAGTGAAAGTTATAGAAAGCATGATGTGACCAGAACAATTAGGCAGAAAGCCTGTGTGTTTACAGTCTGGAAATGTTTATATAGAATTCCTCACACATATTATTTCTGGTAAACTCCAATTTTAATAAATTACTAATATGCTCTCTAGTTGAAACAATTTCTTATCTTTAGAAAAAAGTATTTTTTAAAAAATACCTCAAGATGAAGTTATATACTTGGTAAATTCTTGAACTATTAAGTTTCTAAGCTGGATGAAAGAAATGAAAAGAACATGAGTTTAAAATAACAGTAAATGGAGGTCACAATTGTATGTTAATGAACTTTTGGCAAAGATAAAAGACAGAAACTAAAAAATAGCTTGTGATCGAGCTTTTAAGAGTATTCCTTTATTTAGTAGAAATAATAAAAGGAGACCTTAAGTTCACTCTAATTGAAAGGTAGTTATAACTGTTTCCTGGAATAAATCAGATAATTTTTACTTTAGCTAGTTTTATAATATAACCAAAATCATAATATTCCAATTGGTGACATTTATAAATTGTGATATTTAATTACTGTCATTGAGCCAGATGCTGCACATATTTTATGAAACATATACTTTGAGGTATCAGCACTGCCTAATTTGTAATCACTTGCAAAGCCCATCAATTTAGTACCTTTTGAGGAAAAAAGCAAATGTGTAATATATGGGTCCTATTGCCTCTATCCATCAGCATAGGGTTTTTTTTTCTTTCCTCGATGTCAGAAGAAAGACCTCATTTTCATGACATACTACTCTTGACACTTTCTTTAAAGATACTTTTCATTAAAAGATTCTCTCGAGGTATTCAACTGAGAGCTGGGAGGCTAAGGCGCTCAGGTCCTGGCTCTTCGGTGAATTTAACTGTGTGGCCTTGGGCAAGTCACTTAACCTCTCTGTGCTTCAGTCTCCCTATCTTGTAAAATGGGAGTAATACCTACCTCACAGGGTTGTTGTGGGGATTAATTAGATATAATGTCTGTAAAGCATCTAAGGTTCTTGAAGAAGGCGCTATATAAATACAAAATAATATCTATTAAAAAAATTTAGTACCTTTTGAAAAATTCTGTTGAATTGTGGAAAGAAAGTATCAAAGAAAGAAAACATCCTGAAAAAGTCAAAGAACATTTCCACAATGTATCTGATGTCTGGTGTCCTGGGTCCTGAGCTAGCACCAGGAGTGCAGACCACATAGATCAGATGACACTAACCCCAATAGCTTTGATATCATTAAAAGCTCTGCTCTAAAAGATAGGAACAAATATAACATAATCACACCAAGGTATACAGTTGAGATTAGTAAAGTAAAAGCTTTTGAATGATCTCCATCTACCAGCTTCTCCTACTTCCCTCACACTTCACTACTGTTCAACACATGCTTCTTTCCTTCCACCTCCTTCTCCATCTTTTTCTCTTGGCCCTTAGCCTCCTTCTCCAACAGGCACCGTGCATATGGCAATTCTAACCAAAGCCTATATTAGCACCCAGTATTCACAACAAGGAGGGAACTTATTGTGGAGATGTATTTACAATCACTGTATTCACCAAAGGTGTTTTACTAAATTGGGATATCTAATTCTTATGTCTTCAGTTACCACTTAGTATTTCCCTCCCAGAGCCCAGGATAAGTCAGCCAGGCTTAGGAAAGGGTACGATTTGAGCTCTTGCACTCTAATCTCTGTCATGTGACACCTTAGCCCTGCCCCCCTGGAGCCCTGTCTTCAGCTAAGCACAGAGGCCCAAGCATCAGGGAGGAGGGCAACAAGAGAGGCCAGACAGAGAGACATGGCATTTTTCTCTCCACAGTGAATGCCCAGGAATGGTTCATGTTTTATGACAGCCTATAGGACTGGAGAACTTGACTGAATAAAGTTTAAGACAAATACCCAAAGTGAAACTTTGATTATAGGGATTGTCTAGAGAGCAGACAACATAAAAGGAAAGTTTTGATGACCAAAATTTACAATTTCATGGCAAGAAAGTATACAGTATTCTTTTTTTTTTTTTTTGAAGAGGCATGTATATTTATTTATTTATTTGTTTGTTTGTTTGTACATGCACTGGGTACAGTCAGAAGCGCGGGAGGGTGAGAGAATTCACCAGAGCCAGAGCAGGGAGCAGAGCAGGCAGAAGGACCGAAGTACACTGCTGAGGGGAGCAGCGGGCGACAGGAGAGGTCTGCACGACATGTGGGACCCTCCTCCGGTGGCCGGGGAGCAGCCGGGGATCGAACTGGCACTGCAGAGGCTGCGGGCAGCTTCGCAACCCAGCGCTCAACCGCTGCGCCCCCTTAAACCTTGCAATGCAGGTTATGAAATTCTGCAGCCATGGAACCTACACAACTTGGATTTAGTTGACAAATATAAAGTAGGAAAGTAGGTGAAAACTAATATCCTGAGCTGTTCATCCGCAAAAAAGTGTCAATTTAGATGGGAAAACAGCACAGAATGTAAAATGCTGCCAACACCTGCAGAAAACATGCTAAAAGCAACATAATAGCTTTCCTTACTTACAAGAATAACTCATTCTGTTGTTATCTAGAGTTTCACCAAACTATATCACCCGAGAGAAACATGACATTTTGAAGAACTTACTCAGAGTTTTAGAGTTATCTAAGGTATTTTCAGAATCAGCCTGCTTAGGAAAACAAATGTAGTAACTTCTTTGAAGTTATTCAGTAGACAATTCATAAACTTTTACCAACAAGATGTGTTTGTCTGTCTGTTCATCTATCAGGAAGGAAAATCACTGGCAAACATGACCACTGACTTCTGATGCAGTTCCTGATCTGAGTGCACCCACCTCACCCCCAGGGCACACCAACGGCAATGCTGGTACTACTCAGCCCATTAAGATTTCTTAGACACACATGCCAATGGGATTTGTGCGTTTTTGGTTTTTTTGTTTTGTTTTGTTTTAAATCCCAGACTGATCAAATAAATGCACAAATGCACAAATAAATACCTTGGGCAGTCGCTTGAGGCTGCTTCAAACCCCTTACTGGAACACTTGCTCTACCTTCAAAGCACCGTCTTCCTACACTGTCTTAAGTGTAAACTTCAAACCGGGATGCAAAACTAAAAAGCAAAGAGTAACAAAAATTAAGCAGATAGAGAAAGCTACTTCCTGAACGAACGAACAGGAGACCTCTAAGAGAAAAATTAGTGATAACGCCTGGCGAGGTTTCCCCTTGGTTTAAGTAGGAGAGGGCAGACTTGTAAGTTAAGCTGGAAACCTGATCCCACGCCCTCTCTGCTCCGGCTGGGCCGGGATCCTTGATCCTAGTAATAGTGCCTGTGCAGGCAAAGCTCCGAGAGTCTTAGGGTCCCCGAAATGTTAGCTCAAAGTCAACAGCTTACAGTTATTCTTAAAATTTGTAAATGATATTTATGTAAAAGACACGGACTCACTTACTCCGAAGGCAGAGTTTTCCTCCCCTGGCTGAAGCACGCAGTGCGCCGGAGCGGATTATTTTTAGGGTGGTGGGAGATCAGCTGCCTCCTATCGAGTTTCTAAATTGCACAAACTGCTCTAGGCTGGGCGGACACGGCGACTCCGGAGGCAGGAAACTGGGCAGAAGCCCCGAGCGCAACGCCCGGGACTGGAGACCCTCCCCACCCCCGCTCAGCCCAGCTTTCCGCCCCGACCAGCAAACTTGGGGCGCGGATGCAAAGATTTACAAACACAAGCAATTTTGTGTTTCCCCCAGCTTCATCAGACACAGAAACTTGCCATCTCTGAGCCAATGATTTACGGAGTCGGGTTTTCAAAGTCAAAATACGCAAGGTGGTAATAACTTACATTTGTATTCCCCCCACGCCCCATGCCCTTTTGTTAACCACATAAGGAAGCGCATTTGGGGGGTTCACCATTTTCTCCTGAGCGGTACCCGGGAAATGAAGAACTCATTGCAGCAGAGGAACCCGCTGCCGGGCTGAAACAGCGCTTGGAGCGTGTCCCAGGAGATAGTCAGGCTCAAACCCGCTAACTGTCCCAGCAACCCGGTAATTTGGTTACCCCTCCGGACAGTCGGTGCGCTCCTCAAGAATCCCCTTCTTCTAGCTCCCCTGAAGTGGGGCTTTGATTCCCGCGGCTGCTCAGTTTTCCCCTCATTCTTGCTCCTGACCAAAGAGATAATTAACTTCCAAGGAAAGAAAGTTTAAAATACACGGATCTCCTAATCACTACCCCAGGGTGCAAAACAAATTTTGTTTCAGACAATCCTCTTTCATTTACACTTGGGTTAGGTTGTTTGTTTGTTTGCTTTTTTTTTTTTTTTTTTTTTTTTAGGGCCAGTTCTCAGTCAGTTTGAATCTTTGTTTTCAGTAACTGTTCTAACCTGATAAAGGATGGGCTGCCAGCGGCGGCTGGTGCTTCTGAGACTCCGTGCCTGTTCTCCAAAGGGCACTGATCCTCCCTACCTGAACCTTAAATGCCAGTACTACCGCACCCCATTTCTGGGATTTTGTGGGCAGAGAGCAGGCTCCCGCCAGGCAGTCACAGGGGCGCCTCTCTCCTCCCAAGGTTCCTGCGTATCCTAGCGAGTGCGCCGAGCAGGCCACTGAAACTTGAACCCGCAGCCGCTAGGGGTCTGCAGGGCTTGGGGAGGCACCCGGGAAAGTACCCAAACTTCGGTTATTGAAATCCTGGCAAAAGACTAGATCTGTTTACTAGGAGGCAGGCCCTGGGAGAAAAGAGCAGAGTGCCCTGCAAGAACAGGGTGGGGGACTGTGGGTGGCAGGGAGAAAACCCAGTGAACGTGCCAGAAGGGGCATCAGAGACTTACGGGGCTTCTGCACTTGGGAATAAAAACAGAGAGTGCAAGTAATTACCAGATGCAGATGTTGAGTGTGAATCCACAATATCAAGGTGACTACGGGATTTTTATTTTAAATTAGCATTATTATTCTGATCATTTGTAATGATAAAAAGTCATGCTATTATAGGAACTTCAGCAATTATGGAAAAGTGCATGTCCCCAAACCTATAAAACTACTGAACTGCTTTTGTTGTATTTAACAAGAAAAAGGATAAAATGCAGTGACTAAAGGCACGGACACCTTGATAATCAAATCCTGCCACCGCTCACTTAGCTCAGAGTCTTGGACACGTTGCTCAACCCCTCTGCCTCAGTTTCCTCATCTGTTGAATGGGACAAAACAAGCTATCAATGCGAGGCTCCAGGTGAGGGTAACCGGGACAATGCTTTTAAAGCGCTCAGACCATTTTAAAACTCCTTCAGTAAAAGCAGACAGTTCCTTTGTCATCCTTATTCCACCTTCTGATGCACATTTTTTAGACAGTCACAAAATTATTTACCTTCTTACAGTATCTTTAAAACAAGTATCTTCCAAGGGTATTTTAAAAGCCTCATAGAAATCACATAAATGGCTGCATGATAGTCCATTGTGACACAACTGTAATTTCAAATCCATTTTTCTGTTACTGGTCATGTCACTCCCCAATTTTCACCACGATTTGGTGTCCTACGATAAGTTCTTTTAATCCTTTGCTTTTCTCTTTACAGTGGGTTAATTTCCTTATGATATATTTTTGAAAGGCAATTGGGTCATCATAAGGAGTAAATATGTTTAAGATATAGGTATAGAATGCCAAAAGTACTTTCCTAAAACATTTCTATTAACTCTTCCCCCAAACCATTTAAAATGACCTTCCATATGCTTACACCCAAAAGAGCTCTGAATGGTTTTCTTTTTAATCTTGTCATTGGACAGGTAACTTGCAAACTTTTGTTTTTAATATTCAGCATTTTTCTTACATGTGCACTTATCTTTATGGTAAATTGTGAACAGTTTGTTCACATACTTGGTTATCTCATGAAAGTTATTTGCATGAATTTTTAATAGAAGGATATTCATCCTGTTTCACAGATGACATATTTTTTCCAATTTGTCACTTTAAAAAATGATAGTGTTGCTGCTTTTGAAAAAATAAAAACAATTGTTTTCATATCTTCTCCAGAAATTTTTAGCCCACATCATGTGCTCTACTTCCTGTGGGTCACAGATCAGTGGTGAGTCACCTGCGGGGTGTCCGTTTCATGGCACCTCCTAAAGAAAGGTTTACATAAGCAAAGTGGTTCTATTTACCACTGTATTGTACTCCAATATCTTAGCTCATAAATATTAAACTTCATCTTTATTTTTTCAGTTTTTTTATTACTCTATCCTAGAATTTATTCCTGTATAAGCCATGGGATTATAACCTATATTAAACTTTTATTTATTACACCATCACTATTCATTGAATAATCTTATTCTTCTGTCCAAATATGAAATACCACATGTGATTATTTGATAATATCTGTTACAGAGCTACTTATTTCTTTAAATGGATACTTTTTTCTTTTTTTTTCCTATTCTGTTACTACAGGCAGGAGGATTTGATTTTTATGGTTTTGTATTTTAACTCTGGCAGTGCCTTTCTACTGTTTTCAAAATTTTCTTAGGTAGCTATTCTTTTTTGGGAATTTTATTAAATCTAGGAAATAATTTATGTTTTAGTGCTATGTCTTTCCATCCAGAAAATGATTTTCCATGTTTTTAAGTCTGTCTATCTCAATATTAAATTTATAGAGGTCTATACATTTTTTTAATGATACAAATTTCTTTTGTTTTCATATTTCATACTATTAAGAATACTTTTATAATTTCTAGCAGATATGTTTATATTTATATTCAGCACTTTACTATACTTTTTCAATCATGGTAGTGTTGTTTTGCCATGTTACTGTGATTGTATCTGCAAATTGTGGTACACTCATGTTATGAACTGTATGTTTGCTTCCCCCCAAATCTCACATATTGAAACTTTAAGCTCCAATATGATGCTATTAGGTGGTGGGGCTTTTCAGAGGTAGTTACAGTACAGGTCCTGAGGGGATTCACCTCCTTATAAAGAAGGGAGAGTAGAGCTTGCTTTTTCTGCTCTGTGTCATCTGAGGCTAGAGCAGAAAGGCAAATGTCAGCAAATCAGGAAAAGGGCACTCCCCAAGAACCCCATCTGCTTCTACCTTGATCTTGGACTTTTCAGCCTCCAGAACTGCAAGAGATTAAGGTTTGATATTTAAGCTACCCAATATATGATAATTATTTTCAGCAAACTGAGTAAGTCAACTTATTCCCACTTTCAAATACTTATTTGTATTTTATAACTTATTTGTATTTTATCAACTCTATATTCCAGGATAGTGTTAAAAGAGTAAGAGACAAAATACTTGTTTTTGTTAGAAATATATACAACATTTTTGAAAATCAACTTTGTAAAGTATAATTTTCATAAAATAAAATCATCCAATACATATGTAAATTCAAATTGTTTTGCCATCACTATGACCTCAAAAAGATACACAATATTTCAATCTCCCCTGGAAGTTCTCTTCTTGTATCTCTAACTAGCGTGAATCTCATCATCACTCAGTTGGGAAAACCACTAATCTGAGATTTATCATTAGAGATTAGTTTTGCCATTTTTTGAAAGTTTCATGTAAATGTAGACACAATGATGGACTCTTGTTCCTAGGAGTTTTCTTTGGCCAGTTTATCCTTTTTATTTCTGAGAGCTCCATTATCTGAACATTCCACTCACCTATAGATGAGTAGATATCTTTAGGTTATTTCCAGCTTTTGATGATTTGAAGAATGAGAATGATTTGGCTTCATGGAGGTTCCCTATTGCTCAGATGAAGAGAGCCATGAGGCAAAAAACTGAGTGCAGCTTCTAGAAAAATTCTGCAGTTTCCAGCCAAAGCCTGCAAGAAAATGGGAATATCAGTCCTACAACCATGAGGAACTGAATTCTGCCAACAACTTGAATAAGCTTAGAAGTAGATTCTCCCCCAGGTCATCAAATAAGAGTCCAATAAAAACAAACCTTGACTTTGGCTTGAGAGATCCCACAAGCACTGCTCTCGGTGGAGCACACCTGGACTTGTGACCTACAGAAATGTGAGCCAACACATGGGTCTAATAAGCCACTTCAGTTTCAGGTATTATGGCACACCACAATAGAGAACTAATATACTTCATTTGTAAAGTGTCTATTTTTGTTTCAATTGGGTTGATGATCTTTTCATTATTGAGTTGGAACTTTTCTTTATATATTCTGGATATATCATGTATCATCTATAAGTATTGAGAATATTTTCTGCCACTTGGTATCATGCTTTTCATTTATTTAATAGTATATTATCATTTCACATCCTTATTACTATTTAGACAGTACAGGATTTCTCTCCTCAGGTGTGGTTACCATAGGGGTAGCTCTCCCACCACCAAAGCACACATAGTTCACCAACCTTAGTCCACTGTACTGCCCCCTTCTCATCCCCCCATCCCTCCCCCTCTGGGTGCCTCAGATCTGAGGGTTTTTTTTTTTTCTCTAAGAAATATTTTTCTAACTTAAAACCATAAATACTTTCTCCTACATCTTCTATAAATGTGAAATATGACTATAGCTTTTATATTTGTGTCTATGGTAAATTTTGAATTTATTTTTGTGTATCAGGTGACACAGAAGTTGAGTCTCATTTATTCATGTGTGAATTTAGTTGTTGAAAAAACACTTCTGTTCCCCAACTGAATAACCTTGACACTTTTTGTCAAAAATCATCTGACCAAAGCTGGGTGTTCTCTTGGACTTT